TGGGGGAAAACGTGTGCAACATCATTCTTAAATGTAACTTCGATATATGAATAATGGGTTTTTTTTTTAATTTATATCCTAAATATTAATGTATTTTTTATCATTAAATTATGTAAAAAAATAAAATTTTACTTTAATTTTAATAATTAATGAAATAAATTAAGATACATAATATTGGTATTAAAATTAATATTAATTTTTTTATTTTTTTATATAAATTAATGATTTAAAAATGACATAGATTAAAATAACCCATAAATAATTAATTCGTGCGGCTTGAAATCCACTGCAGAGGCACTGTCTCCTGGCGGCAGTATTGATGAGGGTTGCATGGATTGGGGCCTTCTTCTCTTTGTTGTTTGCATAGCAATCGTCAGCTGGTTTATGAGGATTTGATGTCTTCTGTTTAACATCCTTACATACACGGGGTTAATTTTTCGCCGAGAAGCCTTGCGTTTATTTCGGAATCCATCAAGAACTCTTCGTCCCCCATGAATTCAGCAATGCTGGTGGTGCTGATGTTGACTCCGGTGATCGAAGCCGCCTCAAGAACTTCTTCGAAGAGTAGAATCAGAAGCACCGCCAAAGTGAATCCAAGGCAAAGTCTCTTCGTCTCGGTTCTCATCTTCTTCTTCACCGATGGAAGCTGATCAGTTTTGGAGGAGAAAGTCTACTGTACAACCGGGATACCAACTGACGTGGTATCCCCGTCCAATGAGATCATCGCAATCCACTAAAATTAATCCACTTCATCATGCACATAAGACACTTTATCTTATGAACAATACACCTTTTCTAATGAAAAATTCAATGTAACGAGCACTGGCCCTTGAGGCCTAATGGCATAACCACGGTGCATTCCTCCTCCCTCGGCAGGATTCAAAAACCTGCTCTTGCAAAATATGTTAAAAAAAAATTCAATGTAACGAAATACTAACGGAGTACTCCTCCGGTCTATGTCTTCACTTTCTTTCCCTTCCCTCTTTCCTACCTAACGGTGCCTTCTATTTTGTACCCCATCTTCTCCAAATCTTCCATTTCCCCGGCCCTTGGTTCATCCTTTACCACTGCTTGCTCCTACGGGATCCATTCCATTTTTCCTTCTAATTGTCAAACATGAGTTACTTTAGATCTAGTTGGTTTTTAAGTCTGGGATTTGGGAGAAAAATCAGATTCTATGCCTGAATTTATGTAAATTGAAGAACACATTTGACAATTAACATCATCTAAAACCAGCTAATTAACATCTAATTTTATGATGTATTATCTAATTAACACATAAAATATAAATAAAAATGATAAAATTTTAAAATTAATGTGATTTATATAGATATTGCAAATTTAAATCTAAATAAAACTCATTCATATCACCTTTAAATGGAGAAATGAGCTTTCTTAATGAAATTCAAATTGTTTTTTTTTTTTTTAATAATTTGTAATTATTTACAGAGTTAATTGGGGAGGGGGGAAAGGGGTTTCGTGGGGCTCGAACGTGCAACTTACGGAGGTGAACAGCCCTAACTCAGGGTCCAATACCACTGGATCGGAGTGAACCTTTCGAAATTCAAATTGTTTTAAATTTTTTCTTAAGAGAAAAATGAATTAAAAATGTCCAAGTCAAGCTTATTAATTCTGTTAGATGATGCCCAAGGCAGGCGCAAAAGTAATTATAGGAGTTTTTCATTTTAAATTGAAATCTTTTTGACTTTTTTTCATTTTAAAACTTTTAAATAAAGAAGTATAAATAATATTATAAGATAATGTTATTTTAAAAAAGAGTTTAAATAACTGACTATATTAAATTAAAATAATAATAAATAAAATTACAATTAAATATTAAAATTTAAAATTAATTATATAATATAAATTATATTATTTAAAATATTAAAAATAAATTTTATATTATTTAATAATTAATTTAATTTATTTTTTAAATTTTATAATATTACATATATTAATTAATTTAATAAAATAATTTATATCATATCATTAATTTTAAATTTTCACCTTAAATTTTCCGTCCTCCTACCATTACCCATTAAACTACCGATCACTCATTGAAAGGGACAACAATGTGGAAAAACCCTTCAGCGGGTGCTGCTTCGAGGGTGCTAGCGGCGACTGCCCTTGGCACTGCTCATGTATTTGCCGGTGGGAAAGACTCTGGGACCAAGTTCCTTGAAATTGATCCACGTGAATGTCAATTCTCCTGTGACTCCCAATGAAGACAGGTGGCTCAAACGAAAGGACATGCACCAACCAATTAAAACAACTATTACTAATTCATTTAGGTATTTTTAACACGGTAAAAAGTATGTACAAAAAATATTGAATTTTATAATAAAATTTTGTTAAAATTTTAATAAATTGTTAATTTTTGTATATCTAGTAAAAAAATTAAGATAAAAAATTATTAAAAAAACTTTTTTCTTTCAAAAAATTAAACAAAAAACCTTTATCAGTTATTAATCATGTTTTAAAGAAATAAAAGTTAAAAACTACATTTATCTTTACAAAATCTTTAAAAATAATATTTATTAAAGAAAGTAAACCAAACACCTCAAGGCTTTCAAATTAGAGTTTAAGATTGTATTTGAGATTGTCTTAAAATGCTATAATTGTGCTTTTTTTTAATATTTTACTTCAAAAAAATCGGATTTAATTCCTTTTTTGGCTCCTCAATTCAAGTGTTTTACACTAATTTTGTCCTTCAACTCAGGGCGGAGCCAGAATATTTTTTCAGAGGGATGAGATAATTTTTTTATATATTAATTTACAAAATTTTTCAATTTCAGAAGGGATGAGATAATTTTTCATATATTAATTTATAAAAATTTTCAAATTTCAAGGGTTAGCGCCCCCTGGCACCCCCTCCCTCCGCCACTGCTTCAACTCCATTTTATACTTTGCTAATTCCTTAATTCTAAATTTCTGTACCAATCATGTCCCTCCTTCAACTTCCATCCAACTCCACTTGTTAAATTAACGGGTAACGTAGTCTCTTTATAAGATAGCAATTACACCTAAAAAAAGTTAAAGGTAGATAAATTTTACCCCACTTTATTACTTTCTTGTTTAAAGGGCTTGTTTTAATTTGTACGACTCATTGTAGAGTACAAGGAAAAAAGGGAAAAAAAATAAAATAAAATCCCTGATATCTTTTTTTTTTTTTTGTGAATCTTAAATTTTGAAAGAAATTGTCTAAAATTTTTTTAGACCTTTTTTTTTTTTGTAATGTATATCTTATGGACTCCAATTGCCGTAATTCGAGTAATTCATTACTGCCTTATTGGGCTTTTGAATGAAATTGAGGTTGAAGAGTTGGGTTGGATCCAGACACGGCGCTTTCTACAGGCCTTTAGGGGAATAGCCCAACCCATTAGCTATGGACCCTTATCTATCTTTAAAGCACCTAAACGAAAAGCAGAAAAATAGTAAGGCCTTTTTCTTTTATCAATACTTTTTCACTTTTTCTTTGGACTGAAAAGAGAAATCGTAAGGTTAAAAGTGTGAAAACAAAAATAAGAAGTGGAGGTTACTCATTTTTTCGATGAATATATTAAGGACATTTCTGATGTTTACATTAGTTAGAGTTAGACCCTTCTTTCACCTTATAAACCCCTCCCCCTAGGGTTTTGCAATTCATTCACCATCTCCCACCCCATTAATCTAGTTTCCTCTCTGCTTTTCCCGTCGATCTCTGCCCGGCTGGTTATGAAAACTTAAACCCCGTTTTTCTCACGCAAAATTCTCAACTGGGTATACTTTTATCCATCTATAAGTTCATATTTTAACTTCAAAATTCAATATTTTTTTGTCGTGTTGCAATATAAAGGTCTGTTCTTTAAGCTGGTGGAAAATGAGATGATGATTGATATGTTTTCCTATTATTGTTAAAAAGAGATAAAGATAAAGTAAGACTACCATATCTACTTACAATATTTGTTTCAAGAGTTCGGACTACCATATCTACCCTGCTCTTTAATTTTATTCAACTTACTTTTATCTTAAAATATAAATTTTTGAGGAGTGCTAGGGGCACTCGCCTCCTGCACTCTCCGGCCAACACTTTCACTTTTATTGGGCCACGTTATTCTGGTTCAGAAGAGGCTGCACTGCAAAGCTTGAAAAGAGCTTACGTGGCCCAATTAAAAGGGAAGTGTTGGCCGGAGAGTGCAAAAGGCGAGTGCCCCTAGCACTGCTCTAAATTTTTTCAATGAATTCAATTCCAGTAGCATCCACTAACCAACTTCACTTTTTTTCAATCATTCTTACCATTTAGTGTCCTCTATAGTACGTAGACAGTCCCACTTTATGGTAAACGTCAATCCGTCCCCATTTCGTACAAAAAGAAAGCAATCAATTAAAGAAAATCAGAAAAAGTAGATGGAAGAGGATTTCCTCCACACAACTTTTTCCTTATCTCTTCTCAGTCGCCCTCCTCCCGTCTGCCACTGCCAAAAAAAAATTTTGCTCCTGCTATGCTGCAAAAAAATAAATAAATAAAAAGAAACAATGCGCGGGAAATTTGCTCCTGTCATGTGGCTGCTTTAATGGTAGCTTGTGATTACTTACATGGAGAACGTGAGATCATACGTGGAATTTCATTAAGAAAACTAACAGAGTTATGTAAGGGTAAATAAGAATGGAATAGTTTTAAAAGTTAATAAATGAGTTTGAAAAAAAATAAAGTATTTAGATTAAAATAAAAAATAATTAATAAATAATTTATTAAATTAAGCCTTACAAAATCTTTAAAGTTGTGTTTGGAAACTTGAATTTGAATTTAATTAGTGTAATTAAAATACATGTATTTGAAATATATGTATTTGAAATACATGTATTTTAAAATACATTATTTGGATTGAATTAAAAAAAATGAATTTCAAATACATGTATTTTTAAATACATTGTTTGGATATTTTAAAATACTATGTATTTGAAATTGAAATTTTCTATTAAATTAAATTTTCTTCTAATCATTATTTAAATTTAATAAAATCAAAATTAACAATTTTAATATTTCAAAACATTATTTCCCATAACCAATGTGTCACCCTTAACATAGTCATCCTCAATCTTATTCTTCCAACCTGTTCGGATAATTTCATCTATGCACCCTATCTTCCTCTTCAGGCCTCTCCCTGGTGGGACCAAAGATGAGGCACCACAAGGGGGAGCAGTAACAATGCCTGCAAGTCTACTCTTACAAGAACCAATAGGTTGGGTAATCACATCTTCTTTGCACCTCTTTTTTTATCCTTGCATAGTCTTCTAGAGAGTAATGAGATCTAAGATTAGACAATCTCGATTCATGGGATGCT